CTTTACATGAAGCCCCTCGGACATTTTCAAAAAAATGGCTCCAAATTTTGATTAACTTTTGTTGTTGAATAGTGCAAAACACGTTTAAGAGAATGGTGAACACCTCTTTTTCGTTGACTACCCTATTTTTCGAAAATTGAAAGAAAAAAATTAAACTTCAAAATTGGAGATTCAAATTTTTGTTTCAGACCAAGTCTGTTGTACACAATTGACTGTTCAAAAAAGGTTATGTACAATGAAAGGTTATATACAAAATGTTATGAAAAAACGATTGGGTTTTGCAATTAAAAGTTACAAAACTATTTCTCAAATACCACTCCAATTTCTTTCTTTAAATTTCCTCCACATATGTAATAAGAAACGGTAAGAAATATGGCGCTAGTCTCATTTTCGGGTATTGCTCGTTTTTTTCGAAAATTGCAAAACACTTTTCAAACTACAAAATTGAAGACAGATGTTTGCTTCAGACGAAGTCTGTTGTAAAAAATTAGCTATTCAAAAAAGATCATGTTTTGCGTAACTTCTACTTGAAATTAATGAAATATGTACAGATTTCACACCAAACATGCAGACTCTTTGCAGTACAGTCCACCTCCCATTTATGGCAAAAAAATGGCGCTTTTAGGAAGAATTGATAAGAAAACTGTGCCTATTGTTGACAGTGCCCATCACTGCATGTACGCTTTGTAGTCAGCGCTCATCGACTGAGATGTGTTGATATTGACAGAAATGCGGTATAACATTATTTCATATCTGTTACTAAAGGGGCGAGAAAGTATGTGCTCTTATAGCACCACTCTGCCGCCTGTCCATCTGTCTGTGGGCAACTCTTTAAATGTTTAACATAGTTTTTGCTATTCTAACAATGCTGCATCATGTCTTGAGTGTGTTGTGGAATCCTGATGATTGCGGAATAACTGTAAATAATCAAATTTTATCTTTCATCTGTGATAATCAATGACCTGATATATCACACTAAACTATTGGAAATAAATAAAAATGGAAGAATCATAAATTATTACACAACTGTTGAAAGAAAATAGTTTTTAGTTGTTTTCAATAGTTTTTGCTATTCTAACAATAATTGATCTATGATTAAAAAACATTTAAAAATATATTTGTTTTTAATTTTAGAACTTAATATTCCTTCATTCTGTACATTTTCATTACATAGTTTTCTATCATTGCGTTGTTTATTTCCGGACCTTTTTCCATACTAATTTTCCTGATTTTTAGGTATTCAGAAAGTTTTGCACACTGAATTGTGTTTTTCTGTCTTTCATTTAAAATTATCTACGAACATTCAGTTTTGTATTACCAAATATTCTTCCTGCCACATAATACTTTTTGGCATCTACTTCTTACGCAACCACAACTTGAAATTTAAATCATTTAATCGTCTCAATGGTCCAGTTGTAAACTGTGAATTCAAAATCAACACTCAACAAAATCTTCATCAAGAGTTCTATTCACTTCACTCGGCATGGTCTTCTCCTGAACTTTGTCGGAAAACATGCACTTGGTAGCTAGCTTGCAAAACACATCCTTTCATGACCTCTGCAGAGCCAGCCCATACCCATCCACATTATCTAGTTCTCTTCCATCATCCAGTACCTCTTTGGATCCAATTACCTTATCCCCTGAACCAAATCCTTGTACTACCTCTCCCATTATTGATTTACCTACATTTGACGACCCTTCTTCCTCTTCTCCTGTCACTGCTGGGGCTCGATACTTCCTTCAACCACGCACTCGAGGTAAAAATGAGATAAATAATAGCAACTACAGTCAAATGCACCAGAAAAGTATCTGTGTAGGTAAATGCAAAAAATTCAAATTATGCATCATAAGGTGCAATCCCTTTCAAATAAAATTGAATTTATCGAGGCATCTTTACATTGTGATCTAGGTCAAAAAGATCTTTTTTGCTTTCCCAAACATTGGTTGTCTCATAATTATCTAAACACACGTCAAATTCCTAGTTTTTATCTTGCAAGATCGTATTGTAGAGCGAAGGAACCAAATAAGGGCCCTGCTTATGGAGGTTTGTGTATTTATGTAAGAAATTATATTGATTCTATTTTCTTGTCAGAATTCAATTTATATGTAGTTGAAAAAGTTCGTGAAATAACAGACTTACATCGTACTATGCTCAAAACTATCTTACTTTGCATCTACAGACCTCGAACAAAGCGAGCTTTAGAAAATTTCATTTTCTTAGAAAATCTACAGATAACTCTGAACAAAATTAGTTATATGTGGAGATTTTAATATTGAATTAAAATTCTAAATATTTGAATGAAAAGTAACTAAATTTTTCTATATTTTGAATTAAGTTATAAAAGCCTCCAATAAGTTGCGTCCTGATGGCCCAGCTGCTCTGCCACTGGCTTTATCTCTTGCACTCGAGATAGATGCCCAGTTTTTACAAAATGACATATAAACAGCCACTATCATACTAACCATGTCAGCTTTTTTCATGAATTTTCTCTGCCATTCTGTGTTGAGGAGCACCCACCCTTCTCTCCCTCTGTCATGATTTTATGTAAATGATGACCTCAAGATCTTGGTATGCTTGTGAATGTCATTGAAAGTCTACAAATGAAACTTCATAAACTAGACATTTTACATTCAATTCCCAACATTGTGAATTTTTGATATCAGCTAAGTAATTGGTTAATGCCACTGCTTTACTTGAGAATTCTTACGAACAGCAGCTCAGATCAGTTATTTGGCATTGATTTCAGGCTCCAATTGATTTCAGGATGATGCCAGAGAAGTTCCCAAATCATAGGGACCTGCAACACTACTATCCTTCCTTCTTCATACTTAGAGATGGGATTGATTTGCATATCGAAGAACTGTGAATACTCTGGCAGGACATCAAGAATGAATATGCAAGATGAAGGCTTAAACTAGGATGCAGCAGCACAGGAAGATGGAAGGCAAGTGAATATGCTGTTTACTTAGAGTGTGTGCTGGGTAGTATTTGTATAAAATTTTTGATTAAATTCCATAAAAAGTAACTAAATTTTCAAACTTCATTACAATTTTAATTTTCCTAGATTCACTAGAGAATACACTCTCATCTACATGAATAAAATCGGAGAATTTACTCTTGCAGTATATTCTTGCATTCTCTCTCTGCAAGGTTTCAAGTTCGGCCTTGAGAAGCAGTTTTGAGAGTGAGGGTATAGTACCTTTGCTGTAAGGAGGAGTCTGTCAAGAAATATTTTTTTCATTAATACAAGAAATGAAAAGATACAGCAAGGCACAATGCCGTGGGAAACAACTTTTAAAGCTTATGTTGATTTTCAAAGAGAAATGTTAAATACACAGAAATTTTGGCTTTCTATCAAGAAAAGATGGAAACTACAAGCGCCACTTGCATGTATGAAACAAAAATGGAAGTTCTCTTTGTGAGTATGGAGTTTCTTTGGGGGTAGAGTAGAGAAGGTTATCCTGGATTTCAATGAGGTGTTAGTGGAGATTTGGACTTTCATTAAACAACAGTTTCAAAAACTGTTGTTGAAGTTATAGGCGGTTTAACAGAAATTATTGCCCTAAAGTGGATTAAATTTTCACAATTCAAAAAGGAATTGAACAAATAAAAAGTAAAGTGGCAGGACAAATCCATGTTTACAGCCACTATTGGTGCCATGATTTGTACACTCATTCCTATTAAGATCAAAAAATCCTTGTGGATGAACATATTCATAGTAAAGGGGTAAATATGCATCAATGTTCAAGCAACCCACAACGCAGATGAATGTAAATGCTAGTGTGAATGTACTCTGGTCTGAGCCAGTATATATCTCCAGAAAATGGAAAAATTCAGACATTTACAAAAATTTGAAAACTAACATCAAGACCTTCTTTCTGTGAAATGCAAGTATGGTATTGCCGGAGTTTAATGACACCTTACAAATAGCCATCCACAAAATCAGAAAAGGCTTATAACATAATTCTTTAAGAGCATATTATAAGGGATGTACACAAAAACTTCAAAACACGAAGGTATGAATAAACAGTGCAAAATGAAATCTCACCAGCTACAACACAAGAAACATACACAATACACAAGAAACTCATTTCTGAAAGTCGGAAACATCAGCAGAAATTGAGAATGTTATCTATAAACCTGAGAACATACATACTTTCAAGATCACGTCAGCATATCAAAGCAACTCTCTCAATTCTCAATATTTAAATATTTCTAACTGTTAATTTAAAATAGAATATTCACAGTCCCACAAAAATTTACAAGATGGGATATCATTACCTTATTACAGAGGAACAAAAATTAGAGCTACCTTAGGTATAGCCACATTATAATTATATAATGTAATGACAGGGAATTTAAAATTGGACTGCATATATAGTCACGGAAAGAAACAAATTTTAAGGCATTTAGCCAGAAATTAGTGCAAAATGATACTCAATTTGGAATGAGAAAATACGTATCACTATGGGAATATTTTTATTCAAAAGAAGTTGAGCATATGCTCGTAGGTCAGAGAAGATACTTCAACCAAATGCTTCATTTTTATTCATTCCACCCAAGAAATGGAAGGGTAAATATTAAAAGCCTCATAAGGGTCTCATAAGGGTTCCGTGTCCGACAATACGAAAAATTCAAAGGAATTTCGAGCTGACAACTCGTCAAACGAAGCACGGGAAATTCAAATATAATTTAAAATATTTAAATTACGCTAAACTATTCATATGTTTAAACTATTGTACATGATGCATTTTAATTTTTTTTACAACAGATTTGTTACAAAAAAACTCTATCTTCAATATTGCAATGCAGAAAGACGCCCTCCAAAAATTGCTCTTTGGTAATTTTTGAAAAATCAGGGGATAATTCCATCATGGCTTAGTCATGGAGGGAAACAAAGAATGTGAGGGCCAGGTTTTGACTTCTGGAGAGGTCAAGGAAAAGAATAAAGGTAGTTCTAGAATATAACCTTATATTAAATGAAAAACACCAACTTTGTCTGTAATATAAATATATTGTGCAGGTAATCAAAAACATTATAAAAAATTAACTTCATTATAAGAACCTACATAGAACAAACTTCATATGACTCTTTACAAAAATAAAAATAAAAGCTAATCTAGTTGCCTGCTATTTACTAATTTCATGAAATATACGTTTGGCAGAATTTTTGTTTAGATGTTTGGATCAGGCGAGCAGGGTAAATTGAATAGTAGAAAGGTTAGAGAAAGATTCCAGATAATTCTGAACAACTAACTGCTATATAGGACATGATTTTTAAAAACTTTGAATACTGATTCATGACTGATTATGTGGTTTTATAACAAATTTCCATTGTCAATGTAAAATAAAAGTTAAGATACAAAAAACACAATTATGATTTGATAAGTTTCTCTTTAAATCCTTCACTTCTTCAAGTTTTTAAAGTTTGTTGACATCCTGATCATAGAACTTACTATTATTTCTGCAATTCAAGTCCCTGAAAACCCATTTCTGAAAGTTAGAAACATCAGCAGAAATTGAGCATCATATCTATTAACCTGAGAATATACATACTTTTAACATCATGTCACCATATCAAAGCAACTCTCTCAATTCCCAACATTTAAATATTTCTTAAATACTGTTAATTTAAAATAGAATATTCACAGTGCTACCAGGAAATTTACAAGATGGGATATCATTACATTATCACAGAGGAACAAAAATTAGAGCTACCTTAGGTACAGTCACATTATAATTATATAATGTAATAACCGGGAATTTAAAATTGGACTGCATATGTAGTCAGGGAAAGAAACAAATTTCAAGGCATTTAGCCAGAAATTAGTGCAAAATTAATGCATTCAAACCACAATATTATTTATGATGGAAGAAATTACTGCAAAAGCTCCACATAATTTGCTGGGAAAAGACCAAATGTGCCATCAGGTCCCAGACCTTGCCACCACCCTTCGTCAATTTGGTCAATGTGAGTGATGATGTCTCCAGGATCAAACGTTATTTCAGTAGGATCCGCTGAAACACATCAAACAATTTAAATATTATGGTTGGGCTAGTGCAAGTACAATATTATGTGTAAACATTTATAATTTTATAATAATTTTGAACTTCTGACATTAAGAAAAAAATAAATCCTAACTTAGAAGTTGTCCATAAAAAAAGTTTTGATGAATGCACAAACACAAGTTGATCAAAGAAAACATTTCTAACATCTCAAACTAGGATTTCAACCCTTAAATACAATGGGCAAAAATCTATGTGAGGTAAAGGAGATGAAGTAAGGCCAGCAAAATTTGTTAGCTTTGTTTCGATTAAATTAAGTTGGTAATTGACATCAGTGAGTAATGGAGAAATGTTGGAAAGTTGCATTACTATGTACATGTTCCCAGGACATGAAAAATCACCATTTGAAATAATTAAATTTACTTGTAATTGTAACTAAAACAAATCCTCACATTCTGTGAAAAAAAGCAGATGGATATGAGCAGCAACTCATTCTAAAATATTCATATTTAGTCTACTAATCATTACACTACACACAGTTATCAAGTAATTTGTGTGCGACACTGTCTATTCTTTCCCCAATGATACACCCTTCTGGATCATCAATCAAGAAAAATAAAGTGCCAATTGATGAGTCTCAGTCTTCTGGAGGGGAATGGATAATTTTTCATGAAGATCCAACCAGAGGATTCCAAAACAATGCTTCTAGTTATGTTGGGTTTTGCATCTTTTATGCAACTAAAATGCTTTTTGGGTGACTCACGGCACCCACAGTGGTAATCAATAACTCCTTTTCATCCATAAATTACATAACACAAATTTGGAGTATTTTGAAACTTCCTCTACAACCTGTAATGCACCTGTAATGATGTGAACTCCCTCTAAATATTATATAACGCTCGTGACACCTTCCCCCTATAAATGCAAGAAGTGAAAATAAATTATAGCTCTAATTATAGCTCTCGTACTCAGAATTAGTTGTCAATCCTGACTGCACTTAACGATAAGATTGGGGGCAAATTTTGAGTGAAAGAAGGATGCACAGGTGAGAAAGTTTCTGATCACAAGCTATGCACAGGCTGCCGTTTTGGATGGCTTATGGGCATGAATCTACTTCACCAATTTCATTGTATTCCACTGAATGTTACAGATCAGTTTTGAATATTTTTTTTTGTAATCTAACAGATTCATTTCATCTTCAATCTTACAGATTCAATGCCATCATCAGGTTACAGTTAGACAATAAATAAAGCTTCGTTAGCAGATGACTAGGATAGGTAAAAGTGAAAATTATTTACAATTAATTTTCAACCAAAACTAGAAGAAAATGCAAATAAATTTCAAGATAAAGGTCTCAAAAAAATTGAATATCCCTAAAAATACATTTATACAAAATAGACAAAATATAAAATTACCAAACAGTTAAATTTTTATAATTTGTAAAAATATATCGAAAACCATTCAACAGATCCTGGCATATTTCCTAAACATCCAATGTCTAGTCATTACAAAAACAATGTAATGTAACTCAAAATCTATAAATAAGTGAATATGTTGTATTTTTTCACAGGAAGAACTTCAGTAATTCCTAACACTTCCAGTTCTCCAAGTTCTCCAGGGGCATTGTGGTGCAGAAATGATATGTGCAGTTCTGAACATTAAATACAAATTATATTTAAGACTTCGTTTAGTAATTAAATTTTAAAATGAAAATTGCTAATCATTTATTTAAAAATCATTGAATATTCCTTCCCTTCCCTGGATCATAGTATGCAATATTTACTCAGAAGCGACCAAGTCTTGCACCACGCAGTTCACTTAATCGGAGTTCACTGGTTATCGGCAATTGACCGAGCACTTGGGGATCGCGACTAGTTATGGGCAACCGAGAGCCCGCAATCGGCTACCAAGGACAATTGAGCACGTGGACTCGAGAGAAAGAAGGGTGAGGGAACTCTGGCCAGTAAAATTGGGGAGAATGCAAATCTCTATTGAAAAGAAGACAAGTCATTTTGTATGATTTCTGTAAATATAATAAATATGTTATAATGATACTGAAGTTGGTATTATTTCTTCAATATCAAAAGGAAGTAGCATACAATATTTTACTGTACTCGCTTTCCAGCATTTATTTGAATAGTTACGACTTACTTCATCTGCTTGATGATACTTAAACTTGTTTTGTAGCAAGATAAAAATTATACAAATATTTTTAATCAATACATTTTCATGTAACTTGCAACGCATGGAAATGGACAAGCCAGACATCTGTAATATGTTTAAGATTTATCTTTATTATAACCTTGCAAAGCACAAGCAAAATTTTAAAATACCTGTTGGAGGCACCACACTAAGCTAGTTCCACTATATTTACACTAGATGATATAAAATATAGACTGTTGAAGTCTGATTATATCCTGCATTCACCCAAGTCTCTTCTAACCACGCTATGTCAAAAATCGCTTTCATAATGTAGTTAAGAAAACAATAACACCACATAACTGATTTCTTTTATTACACCAACACTATTGGAATATTCTTGTTTCAACATCTGTCTATGAGTCAGAACAGTTAGCAGTCACTGTTTACTGCTTGATAATATTCTTGCATCCTCCAATATCATGAATTTATCAAAAAAATTATATATTTCCTTCAATTACCATATTTATAGATGTCAATGAATTGCCTGGAAAGAGTTTAGGTTTGTGACACATTTAATTAAATTCCGCTTTTTGATAAGGGTTTCCAAGTGTAATGGTCCAGACTTGCGCGTATTTCTGGCAATTCCTTCCAGTATTATTTTTTATTTTCATTGTAGCAGCTGTTAGGTGTAGTATTTTGAAAATGGGTATCAATTGACCACAATTCATAATAAACTCTCTTTTTCAAAATATGTATTCCTGAATACGTTCATTTCTTATGAGCTATGTAAGACTACTAATGTATCTCGTAATGGAAGACTACATTCTCCCTCAGCAATTTTCTAAGAACTTCAGAACATTTTCTGAACTGACATATTGATTATTTTGCTTTGTATAATTATTTCTCTCTCTTTCTATGACACACAATTTACAAAGAACCCTGATATTTAGTTATTATTAGTGATACTGCTGCTGGTTGAAGCAAAAATGAACGAATTATGTTTTCGAGTTCACAGTACTATAAGATACTGCTTATTTCTCACGACTTACCCGCTTGGTAGTCGTATAGGGCACGAGCCCTGAGGCCCAGATCAGAGCCAAGAGTTGGTGCATCAAACAAGAGGGGATCCTCCACTTCTGGCTGCAACTCTGAGGCATTGGCAATATCTGCTCAGACAGACACTTGCTAATAGAACTAACTCAATAAACGCAAAGAACACAAGAGCAAATAACACTGAAGGACGATATGCTTCATTAAAAAATGTAGATAACTTATCAAACTGGGTATTAAATGCATTTGATGGGATCATGAAATAACCGTTTTGACACATTGGGTTTAAAAACTGCTTTTAAAACTACTTTAAAAATTACTTTTAAAACTGAGAAAATAGGTTAATTCATGCCTCATAAATGCATATTTTTAATTAATACCACATAAAATGTATTAAGTAAAAAAAATTTGACAAAGAAGTAAAGTGAATATTAATTTTTATATTTTTTATTTTCACTACCTGGATTAATTAAGATTTTTTAAAAAATTCTACTGTTAAATTTTGCATTCAAACATTAAAATTACATATTTGTTCAAAATGCAGTTGTAAGTATCCATACACACATTATGTTCACACAAAACAAATTGAGACACTTTCAAAAGTTACACTGGTTTAATAAGGATTATGATGAATGACTCAAAGAAGATACAAGTTTCTTTCATTATTCTAGCAATATAGAAGGCATTTTAGAAACTGTAAACCAAAGGATTACCTTTATGAATACTAGAGTTGTATGACAGTTGATCAAAACTTTCTTGATTCAATTTTGATTTATATAAATATTTTCCGATTTATTGAAGTAACACCTTTTACCTTTTGAGTAGTTTCATCAATATTTCATCATATCATCTAAATACTATTCTTAACCCTTCAACATGGAATGTAGCCTTCATTTGTTTCTCCTCTATTTGCGAGGAACCTTGACGTCAAGGAATTTCCAGCAGCCCGCCGGGATGACATGTTAAGATAAAAGGTCACCCTTGCTGTGCACTGAGCTGACTACTTACCACTGTAGTAAGGCTCAAAGACCCCTTCCCTTTGCCCACCTTGGAATGCTACCATGCCCAATTTAGTCACCAAGTTGAAGGGTTAAGTGCAACTAAGTACCTTGCCACGTATTGCTCTGTACATCCTCCTGCTGGCCATTCTCGTTTGTTTGGTTTGTTTGGGTAATTCCAAGAGAAACCTAGAAACAATTTTATTACATGTAGAGTCTAAATCAATGAGCATTTTGTTATTGAAGACTTTCAGAAATGTAAATAACATGAGACAAAAAAACAACAACAACAACAAAGTTGAAAATGGGCTACAAATATGCCTTTAAAGAACTTGCAAACTATACTGAATTATCATTAAATCATATTACTGAAACAAAATTTGAACAATTAATCCAAGGAAAAAGAATTTGGTCTATCCTTTCTTTCCAAGATACAATGAAATAAAAACATAATCCTTGTGAAGTCAACACTTAGAGAATTGAAATTTCTATTAATCAAAGGCACATGCAATAATGCTAATGCAATATTAACAAATTGTACTTCTAAATCACAATTTGTTCAAACTAAAAATTACATGTTCCTGAAATTACTGTGTTTGCGATTACAACCCAATTTCTTGACCACTCCAAGCAAAACATGAAATAAAATAAGTCTGCCACAGCTCAAGCATAGCCTTCAGGAATGAGTAATTTTAGTTTCAACCAAGTGTGATTGAGAATCCTACTGTTTCCTACTGTTTCAAAGACAATTTTCAGGATGGTTCCAGAATGTAAAATGTGCATAAAATGTTCATAGAGACTTCATAAACTATGTGAAAATAATTTTTGTATTAGTTATTGGTTTTGTGAAAATGTTTTCATTAATAGAAGCTTTCAATGAAATTATTGTATTCATTTGATAATTTCAATGATCTTCTTTGTCAATACTGTAATAATTATATTTTTGGAAAGGAAACAAAATCAGGTAAGCATTTAGCTCCCCTTGTTAGTGGTTTCATAATTGGTGGCAGTTTCCAAGCTACTAAAAGTGAAATGTCCATTTAGAAATCTGTGAATTAAAAACCTTAGAATTCATATAAAAGTTAAAGCACTGCAAATGTTAAGTAGGCTTTTTGCTGTTTCATTTATTCATTTATCATATATATAATATATGATACCATAGTGAGTATATTTGTTATACACACTTTTGTGAAATAGGGTTCGTATACTTGAACACAAATACCTCAGTCAATATTGTTTTCGAAGTGTAGATAATTCCTATCTTCAATTTGGTAGGGATGTGTGTGTGTGTGTGTGTGTGTGTGTGTGTGTGTGTGTGTGTGGTGTGGTGTGGTGTGTGTGTGTGTGTGTGTGTGGTGTGTGGTGGTTCCGGAGATAGTCGTTTGTTGTGTTGCAGTGTCGGATTTTGTCGTGACTCTGTTGTCTGCTGTGGTGTTGCGCGTCTTTAGTGTGTGAACATTTCCTGCCAGGAACGCCTCGCTTCCAGATTTCCGCTATCCGCTTGGGCGTGATACTTCTTCCGCTTGAAGATACGCAATCGCAGTCTGATCAACCGTTGTGATGACTCAAGCCCTTTTTCAGAGCTCCGTGTTCCATGAGTCTTAGCGTGCTGGCCTCTCGGCTGGTCATTTCCGTTGCTTCCAGACATCTTTTTTGTTTGCCTGCTGGCTAATGTTTTCTTACTTTCTTCTCTCCGCTCAGCTTGTCTCACAATCTTGCTAACATTCTAGGGTGATTTTTTATCTGACCTATTTCCGCTGTCAGCTAAACCAGTTACAGTCGCTAATCCACATTGTCCGAAGCATTCATGGGCTATAGTACACGGAGTAACCCTTCTCGTCCAGATATTTGCTGCATGCGTCGTGCTCGGGATCACTGCTTGCGCTCGATGTCACGTGTTGCCGGTGGACGTATGTTCGTTCTTGCTCGCTCGTTGTTGGTCGTGTGTGTGTGTGCGTCGTGCCGTGCGATGTGTTGTTGTGTTTGGCTGTAGCTTCTTTCCTCGGGTCCGCGTGTGCTGCGCGCTCCTGGCTTGCGTGTGTGTCTGTCGCGCTCTGGAGGGTCGAGTGTGGTAGTGTTGGTCGCGTGTGGTCGGCTGGTAGTACGAAGGCGTAGCGGATTGATAGCTACGGTGTAGAATATGTTGTTGCGCTCGTAGTGTAAGTGTGTGTGTGGTGTGGTGAGTGTGTGTGAGGTGTGTGGTGTGTGTGTGAGGTGTGTTCGTGTAGATGGCTGGTGTTGTTTCTTGTATATTGTGCGCGGTGTGGTGTGTGCTGTGTGGTGTGTGGTATAGGTTTGTATCGGAGGTGGTGTGGCTCGCTTGTGTGTGTGGTGCGGTAGATGGTCTGTGGCTGTTGGGTAGAGTGTTGTTGTATCGCTTGGGTTTGTGGGTGGGGTGTATGGTGTGTGTGTGTGCTGAGAGCGCTGTGTAGTCGTAGTGGTGCTGCTGTGTGTTAGATGTGTAGTCAAGTGTGTGTGTTTTTGTTGTTGGGGCTGTGGTGGTTGTGGTTAGTGTGAGTTGTGGGTGTTTGCGTGTGTGTGTGCTAGTTGATCGTGGTGGCGGTTAGGTGGCGGTTCGTGTGTCGTGTTGTGTGTGTTGGTGG